TAATGGGTCTTAGGCTGGGTTACTTCTTAGGTCCTGTCAAGAAGAGTGTAGATAGTTGGTTCTTGCTAGGAAGAGATGCTGGAGCACACCTGCAATAGTGCCCACAGCAGGACGATTGGCTTGTGAACACCTACTGGTGAATGGGTCACTGAAAGGTCCACTGGGCAGCTCATGTGTGCCTGGCACTGGTGTCACAGGCTGGATTGGGAAAATGGGGAACTGTGAGTATGAACTGGCAGCTGGACTAGGTGACCACTGCAGGTCCCTTCCAACTGAACCATTCCATTCCATGTAGTAGCTAGGGCTTTTCTGTTCGGTGTTAAATACAGTTGATTGGAGTTTGGGGGTTATCCATCAGCTTTCACTGAACTGACAGTGGTCACTCTAACAAAGTTAAAACATTTGGACGTTGAACTCTCCCTGAGGAGCTGAATTAAGCAAGAAATTAGCAGCATTTTAGATATATAACAAAGATATTCTTGTGCACAAGTGTTTCATGAAACAAATGAGCAATGTGCTCTTAATGTTTGTCTTTCCATATTTGATTTTTGCAAGCAGTATGACAATGTCTTACAATATGTAATTAAAGTAGCATTTTTAATCACTTACTTTTGGTAATTATACTAACGGATGAAGACATATTAAATCATTGCTGTGGCCCAGCAAGAAATACTTTCCTTTCTCTTGTAGAAAGCAGCATCCAATAAGAACCTTCCAAGTGTTTTTATTTTTTTTTCTTTAGCCTAGTCTGTCCATTACTGAATTGCATCTCCCTCCTTTCTGTCAGAAAGTTTCTATGGTCTTTCATGGGTCATCTGTGCTTTGTGGAGTCTGCAGCTGGCGCTTCTGCATGATTCACCAGGTCTGCACTCCTGACCCAGGCTCTAACAATGTTAGGGGATGATTCACTACTGGAAGGCACGTAAAATGGTGGTTACTAAACTTCTTACTGCCCTTTTATAGTTTAAGGAGCTACTTAAGACGTCACCTGATCTAGGTTATTAGGATGCCTTTTTAAAATGCCTTTTATGCTGTATTGCATCTTTCTCAGCTTCCTCCTCTGACGTGAGGAGCACCACTGATAGATGCTAACTGAGAGTGGACAGATTTGATCTCAAACCACTTTGAAGGACTCAGACAAAAGGGATGATGGCCAGAAGTGCTGGCACAGTCATACTAAGTCTAGCTGAACCTCCCTTTGACAGAGCATGGTTTACGTGGTACTTTGATGTCTTTTTTCAGTCTTTCTTTTCTGTGATTCTTCCTGGAAATTCAGCTGTTGATTTGAAGATTAGAGCCATGATGTAGAAGAACGTTCACTGTATCACAGCTTGCTGCAAAGTTTAACTTTTAGGGTTTGTCCCCTTGTCAGGGGAGGGAACTGAACTACAAAGGGTCTATCATCACTTCAGCTTTTTTATTTAAGGACAGGAAGTACCGATTCCTTGTATTTTTTATCTTGATTAATTGCCTGTCTTTATTAAAGGCTAACTAGATGGTAACTCAGAGGAGATAACAGTGGGGACCTTGATGGAGCTCAGCCAAAGCTGCTCAGCACAGAGATTAAAAGACATAATTTCCTCAGCCTGAGAAGTTAGGGAACATTTATTATGTGACTGAAATGCAGAGAAGACCACAATCTTCACTTTTGCTGCTCCGTGGGTTATCTCTCAGAGCAGTCTGAGAGGATTCTCTGTGGCTCTCAACTGCTACTCTAATGACAGTGTAGTCAAGGAGCAAACAGAACAGATTTTTTGTAAATAGGCCAAGAGCACAAACCCAAAGCTACATTATGAAGGACAAAGGTATTTTCATCAAATAGATAAAAATAGCTGCAGAAGGACACTGGAATTAAATTGCTTCACTGCATTAGCACTAGACAAGGTTTGTAGATTTGTGTTAGTGTCAGTAAAACTCTTCTTTGAACCTGTTAAGATTAGCACAGATTAATACCAGGATGTACCTGCGTGTAACAAGCTCCTCCTACAGAAACTTCTTCTGGGGCACATCCTACCGTTGGCCTCATCTGTGCATCCATTGCTAAAATCAGCACCTTGCTCATGAAGACAGCATGCAATTCTCTGCTGGTTTTGACATGATGGGACTTGGCCTGTGTTCAGGGTCGTTGTCATGGCCTCTCCTGTCCCAGTGGATGTGTTAGGTGAAGGAGAGCTTTGATGTGGTGGCTGGTGGCAGGCAGGGATGGATGTTACTATCTTTGATGCTGCCATGGCTTCCACTCTGGGCACTGATGGCCATGTGGCTGGAGCAGCTCTCTCACTCCTGGGTTCACAACAGTGAGACAGAAAGACATGGCATGGAACCAAAATAGGCCCTGATGTCTCTTTCTCTGCTGGAGAACTTCTTTCTTATGTTCACTGTCTTTCTGGGGCACTTTTGACCTTTTTTTTTTCCTGAAGCCCAAAGCAAACTCTCGGTGAGTTTAGTGGAATAAGGACTTAAAGCAATTAGCATTTTTACACCAGAAGTACATGAATCACTTCTTTCACAAAGTACAGAACAAACCACCTTCTCCTGAAGATACATTTTAGCATCCCTTGAGAGGACCAAGGACCTCAGGAGATCTATTTCCATATCACCAGTATGCCTCCACCCAGAGCTACTCAGGTGTCCCTTCAGTGACTTGCTTGCCAAACTGCAATGCTTACAGCTGCTTGGTGCAGAAAGAGATTATTGACTGTTTGGGGCTGGAAGGGACATTTCATGGTCATCTTGTCCAATACTCCTGCAGCAGTGAGAGGCCTTGCTAAGGTCTCCCCAGAGCCTAATGATAAAACTCTTTTTTATTTAAAAAAAAGTATTTTTTTCTTTCATTCACTAACATAAACTGCATCTATATCACCCCCCCACAGCTTCCAGACAGGTAATTTTTCTGCAAGCTTTAAGGAGTTTCTTTGTTTAGCACAGACACCTGTACCATGGTTTACTCCCACATTGTCTGGCTTGCAGAAGAAGAATCCAAAGACTGGTTCATAATTTATATGTGAGAGACCTGACGTTGCTCAAAGGAATAACAGCCAAACCATTGGGTCTGAGGTGTGATTTATTCTGGTAATCAGCTGGTCTACTGAGTCCTAACAGGTACAGTGAGAACTTTTGTAAAGGCAGCTAAGCTGGGCTGCAAAGAACTTTATTAACTTGAACATGCAGAGGAACTTGTAAATGGGAGCATGAACAGAATGTAAAAAGAGAGTGTAATAAAAAAAATAGGATGCTGGGAGGGAAATAATTTGAAGTGGAAAGAGCAGAATGCCTGCACTGTTCTGGGTAGATATAAGAATACTGAAAGAAGTAAGATTTTATTTCTACATGTGTGATTTCTGGGGTCTGCAAGGGGGAAATCAAAAACTATGCAAAAGATAACCAGAGATAACTAAGGTAAGTTAATTAAAGATAGCCTAGGAGAACAAACCCATGCTTTTACATAAAGTGAACTGCAGGTGGGCATCCTATGTGCTTTTCTTTCGGGCATAGTAAAGAACTGTGAGCTCAGATTTGGCACCCAGAGAGGTGAGATCCAGCAGGGGGTGTTGCTGTTCACTAGCTGGCATCACCTGCTCCCATCTAACAGCTGCTCTGGAGCACAGTTTGCTACCCCTAGTCTGTGAAAATCTAGGTTCCCTTTCTGGCAGCAGGGAGAAGGGACATGCAAAGTTCATCTCCAGACCATAAGGGCATCATACTAGAGAAGCCATTTTACTCGGATGACTAAAAATGCTTTTCACTGTTTCCTTTGCTGCAGGGACTATCTGTACCTAAGAACATTTCATATAATGCCCAAGTCTTTCAGCCTCCCTAGAGTGAGGCTTGTAGTAACAATAGAGGAAACTTCTGTGGAATATAACAATTAGAAATGTGCATTTAGTTGCATTATAAAAATAAACTCTATCTGAACACTGAAAATGTAAAATTGGCACAGGATACAGCAATGAAGTTTGTGTTTGTTGGAGATTCTTTAAGGAAAAAAGGGTCAAAATAATAATTTGAAGCTGTTATATACCACAAAACCCACCCCCAACCCCCTAATTTGGGGAAAGGTGGTGATTTGGAGAAGCAGAGACTTTTTATCTCAAGTTAGCCTCAAATCCTGGGTGGTTTGTGACTGGCTGGTTAGTGGATAACATAAAGGGCATTTGGCAGTGTCAGGCAGGCGTGTGCCTCGCATGCAGAGGCAGAGCCCCTTTGCTGAGGAGAAGACCTCTGCTGGTTTTGCCACCTTTTGAGTGAGGCTCAGGATGAGAACCAATGGCCTGATGGCTCGACCTGTAGAGGGTCTTCAGCCACTGCAGTACTGAGCACTGAGTTCAGCAGCTCTTGGACCCTGTGAGCCCTGGGGGAATTCACATCCCTCTTGGGAAGCCTTGGCTGCTGGCACCGTGCCCTCTGAGCTCCTCCCATGTCTGCAGTGAAACCTCTCTTCTAGTGGGGATCAGAACAGAACTATTTGTTCTATATTTCCACAGAAATTGCTTGAGTTACACCTTCTCTTGGTGGTGTGATGGGCTCCTCTGCATGCTCCCTGAGTTTTGTAACAGCACCATTCTTAGCCTTGCAAGATTACAACTCTGAACGTAAGACAAATGTTCATAACATTGCTGAGCCTTCCACTTCAACAGCAGTTTTCTGCTCTCACCTCTTTTGGAGTATTGCAGTATGAACTTCTTGTCAGTGTGTGCTAGCAGCAGCAGAGAATACAAAAAAGAACTCTTTTTGGAAAGGAGCATGCCTGGTGCACTTTCCCTGTTCATATTATGAAAAGCTCATCATGCATTTTAGATCAGAACCCTCGTTCGGATAGAAAGACAAGAGAAGACCACTAGATGGTGGTAAAACCTCAAGCCTTTGCTGGCAAATCTCTGAAAGAGAACTTCAGAGGGGCAAAGAAGGGGAGGAGGAGCCACGGTTTGAGTACTGAAGTCATTATTGCTTGGAGTCTATAAAAAGGCAGTTGCACAGTACGTAATTTATATGTGGTCAGCCTTGACTCTATGGATTTACTCATTCCTTTTCCTCTATTTTTGTCATCTATTCCCACCAAGGAGTCCCCAGCCCCAGATGTGGGGTGAGGAGTGGGGCTGAAACTTCTGCTCTCTGAAGGAAAGGTTGCAGGCGATGAAGAGAAAAAGCAGCTGAAGGAGCAGCTCTGGAAAACAGGTACAGTAAATTCTTGATTGAAAATGAAAGGTTACTTTTAAAAACTGAAAGTGATTTAGCCTCATATGCTTTTAATTTTATTTGCAACAAGTCACCGACAATCAGCTTTAAGTTTTCCCCTTGTTAAGAATCCGATGGCTTACAATTTGCCCTGAATATTGTCCTTACCTAAAAAGCATTAAATGAAATACTCACCATCTGGAATAGAAAACTTATTTTTATGACAGATTTGCACCCATGCCAATTCTCTAAGTGTGTCCTGAAATGTATGGATTCGCCTTGGTTAGAGGTTTAATATGCTCTTAATGCATGTTAATACTGCACAGATAAGCTGTTTATAACAGTTCATGTGAACTGCAGAAGTACAAAGGTCAGGAAAGCATTGAAATCTTTAACTGAAAACATTCAATCCTTAACTGTGGCAATAATTCAAACTTCTCTATATTGTACTGAAGTTCCTAATACTGTATTCTTCTGCATTTCTGGGGCCTGAGAAATGAGACTTTGAAACCTGTTTGCTGTTCAGCAGAATTTCCAGGACATTGTGTTCGCTTCTAGGGGACCAAATAGAATAAACAAAACTATAAATGTGGAGTGCATGAATGTCTTCATTAGTTTGTGGGTTTAATTTCCCAGTATGGATAGACAGAAAAACTCTGAGCCAACTGGAGGTTAATTTAGGATCGGTGGAGGAATATGGTGTGGAAAAGGCAGGATGTGTACGAGCCAGATTAAGCAGAGATGGGTGATATTTGTTTTGTCAACTTCTGCCTGTTCTTGTCATGCTATGTTTTTTTTGGCAGGGTCTTTTGCCTGTTGGAAAATGCATTTACTGTGCTTGTTGGCAAGCCCTTCAGAAAGAACAAAACGTGTTTGCTTCCAGAGATGAACATGTCCTCTCAACTCTATGTTTCTGAACTAAACCTGAGTGCCTTTGGTACCAACTTTACTGTGCCTACTGTCAAGAGCAAGTCCTCGCCGTGTGAGCAAGTGGTCATTGCAGCTGAGGTGTTCCTAACTCTGGGCATTGTAAGCCTCCTTGAAAATATCCTAGTTATATGTGCAATAGTGAAGAACAAGAACTTGCATTCACCCATGTATTTTTTTGTCTGCAGTTTAGCAGTGGCTGACATGCTGGTTAGTGTCTCTAATGCTTGGGAGACCATAACGATATACTTAATAAACAACAGACACATAATCATGGAAGATGCCTTTGTCCGTCATATAGACAATGTCTTTGATTCGATGATCTGCATCTCTGTGGTGGCTTCCATGTGCAGTTTGCTGGCTATAGCAGTAGACAGGTATATCACCATCTTCTACGCCCTGCGTTACCACAACATCATGACAGTGAAAAGATCAGGGCTTATCATTGCATGCATCTGGACCTTCTGCACAGGCTGTGGCATCATCTTCATCCTGTACTATGAGTCAACGTACGTGATCATTTGCCTCATCACTATGTTTTTTACCATGTTGTTCCTCATGGTCTCACTGTACATCCACATGTTCCTCCTGGCTCGTACTCATGTGAAGAAAATCGCTGCTTTGCCTGGGTACAACTCTGTCCGCCAAAAAACCAGCATGAAAGGAGCCATTACCCTCACTATGCTTCTGGGCATCTTCATTGTTTGCTGGGCTCCATTCTTCCTGCACCTCATCCTGATGATTTCCTGCCCTCAAAACCTCTACTGTGTTTGCTTCATGTCTCACTTCAACATGTACCTCATTCTCATCATGTGCAACTCGGTGATCGATCCCCTGATCTACGCCTTTCGCAGCCAGGAAATGAGGAAGACTTTCAAAGAGATCATTTGCTGCTGTAGCCTGAGAGTGGTCTGTGGGTTGTCTAACAAGTATTAACAAAACAAAACGAAACCAGGGAAGAGAATGGAAATGCAGCTTCTGGCCACATCTTCTAATATCTGCAGACATGCCCATGGAATGTCCTTCTCTAGCTGGTGTGATTTCTGCAGCAATCAGAGACCGTTTTTTTCATATGTGATTTTTACCTTTCTTCCTCTCCATACCCCTCTCTCACACTTGTGGCAGGAGCTACTCAGTTCATCTGTATTGTGGGGAGAAGTAATATTTTCAATCTCATTTTCTCTACTGAAGACCCAACCTTGTAAGAGGATTCCACAGGGAAAGCCTTATTTTTCTTTCTCCTAAATGCAATGAGTGTGACCTGCCATGCAAACAAACCTATCAGCCTCCCAGTGTGTTTCTCTTGCTGCTCTTTGTCTCTCTAGATACAGCATGGCTTATTTTGATGCCCACAGTTAACAAGTTTTTTGCTATTTCCTTCTGAAAACATAAAATGAGATCAGCACCTCCAGTCATCAGGGTTCACATACCTTGCTCAACAGTTATGACTGATACATATGCACATATCAGCAGTCGTGTATTCCAGACATGACTGATACTGTCATGAAATAAGTATTGTGTAAGAGGACAGTGTTTCCAGGAGACTTTCCAGGTTGGATACAGTATTTTGCCATATCTGACTATATGTGTCCTTATCATGGTGGATTAAGATGCACCATGGGGAATTTTAAGGCTAAATATGAAGACTGAGCTGATTCTAGTTTGTGTGTTTACTTTATTCCCCAGGGCTAGGGGAGCAAAGGGTACACTGCCTCCAGATAGTCATGGAATGACTTGTGGGCATGGAAAGTCTGGGTGAGTGGGTGTCTTTATAAAGCATTTCATCCAGGAGTAGCTCTTGATACTGGAGGAAGCTGTACTGTAGATGGCATCTTTCAACTGGGAGAGGCAAACCCAGTTTGCTCCACAGGCACAGCAGGCAATGGGAACACAGGGATTTCCAAACCTCAGGCATGTGTAGCTATAACAGAGACTTTTGCTCCCCAAATGAAAGGGAAACCCTCATGCCTTTGGTGTAATTTTCACCTAGTCATGCCCTCATAAAGATGCTGTTCTGCAGCAGCTGTGTAATGGGAAAAACACTGGATTTAGTACAGATGAAGGAAGAGCAACTGTGGCATTGATTTCTGGATGCTAGTGCATGGTTTATATCTTGCAGTGAGATATAAGCTATGAAATATTTCAAGCACGGGTACCCTACTGACTAGATATCAGAAAATAGCTTGGAAAAATGAATGGTTTCTTCTGCAAAACATGAAAGAGTAACTTGTGGTATACTTGGTTTAGGGATGCTCAAAAACTGCTGTTGTCAATAGAAGGATTATGACTGATTCAATGGGCCTTAGGTTATTCCTTCAGGGTGGATGTTAGGAAAATATTTTTACCATAATCATGGTAAAATGTGGGAACAGGTGCCCAGCAGTGGTGCAATTTCCATTCTTGGGGATATTCAGAACTTGACCGGACACAGCTCTGAACAATCTGCTCTAAGTTGAAAGCTAACTCTGAAGTTGGCCCTACCTTAAATGATTAGGAATAGATACCATCCACAGGTCTCTCCCAACCCAGGTTCCTCTGTGATTCTATGAAACAGTTTGCATGTTATGACAAAACTGGAGTTTTTTCTCCTCTAATTTAATCTCTTATGTAAGGAGAATTGTAAAAGATTCTCCTCTACATATTTAGGAAGGCAGCATGCTTTGTGTCTTCATTAGCTTTGGAGGTCTCTGGCAGGATGAGTAGGGTGCATCTTTAGCACCAGAGTTATGTCTTTTGTCTGCTGCACCTTAAAATCTGTACTGCCTCCAGCTCACACATCTCTCCCTCTGACATGAGTAGGAATGGTACCCTCAGTGGAGACACCTTATTATGGTGACTGTAAATATAATGGTTACATCAGTGCACTAGGTGCTTTGATCTTCCTTTAGCTGAAAGGATGTCAGAGATATCTAAAAACAGGATTTCAGAGGTGTGTTTGTGGTCAGGAGTGAGAACCTTGCCTTTTTTCAGTCCACCTCTTAACCCCATCCACAAATGGCACCTCAGAGTGGGCTTCTGCTGCTGTGAATGTAAACAGCAAAAGGAGACAGTTCCATTGCATAGTGAGAGGCACTAGCTGATGTTGTAAATAAATCATTAAATCCTCTCTGAGTATTGCAAACAAAACAGTCTTGTAAATTGTAAATCAACAAAGAGGAAGCCAAAACTGTAGCAGCGTTGGGTGTTTTCTTGAATTGTACATTACTTCTTTTTGTTGGAAGTTTATTTGATGTATAAAGACAGACAAATGAAGAAACTATTAAACTGGATTGCTGGAAAACCCAATATTGTTGGCTATTCTTCACAAACGTGTCTGCTAACCTTAGAGATTATACAAAGAGGGAGTATTGCATTACAAGCTGTCATTTCTCAACTTAAATGGATGCTTATTAAGAAATAAATTCTGAAAGAGAGTTACAGACTAATATATTTCCATCCATACCTGTGTTCTAGGTGTCAGCATCACAACTTTGCTATAAGCTTTACAGATGGGGAGCTAAAACAGTGTAGGGGGAAATGAAAGTGTTTTCAAGAACAGGCTAGAACAATTCCTGCAAAATATGCTGTTTACACTACAGGAATGCTTCTAAAAGACCCATCTCTGTAAGGCCAAGACATGTTTTAATCTGTTTCTCCTGTTTAGCTGCAGAATAAAAACATTTAGCATGCTTTCACTTCTACCAGAGCCTGGAGAACTCTAAGTATTCTGATAAACTGGGACAAGCAAGCATGGTGCAAGTATGAAATTTGCTGTCAAAGGGCAATCACGAATAAAACAGCTGCTAGGCTGTCGTTGCACCATGTCCCCAAGCTAAGGATACTACTCTTGCTTACACTGCCAGTCATTTAGGGCTTGGTATCAGTCATTGGAAAGAAGCTCAAATCACACTATTTCTGTCCCAGAGCTCCCAATCCAACTTCTACTGCCCAATGCTGCTTTGATGTCTGAACACTTCACTGCTTCTAACTTGTGTGCCGCTACTCCAAACTTTTTAACAGGAAATTATTCTGAACTGAAGTGCTGGGGTCTGAACCCCAAGCCCTGAATCAAGGTTGACATATGGATGATACCCACAACTAGGCAGGAGAGACCTTCCTCTTAGTTTTCTCTCAGGGTTTGGCCAACCCTGGATGAAAACCAATTAGGAAATTACCACCAGATGCCCTGCCTTTAAAGTCAGTAATAGAAAAGCTGGTTCTGCTTATAGTGGGTAAGGAAGTTTACTTATGTAGTAGATTCACTATGTAGGGTTTCCTGTTACTGGGAGGGCTCCCAACTGTCCATGGCAAGTAGAGTTTGCAGCAACAGGCACTTGAGACCAGGACAGAAAGAGGGTTATGTTTGTAATCATGCTTGTCTCTGACAATAACTATAGTGATTTCCATGTGGTTGGAGTTGGACTGTTGGCTTGGTTTCTAGTTCAGCTTATCCCTTCCTCTGCTACATTATGCACCATGATACATTGATTTATTTATTCCTCCTGTTAGTCACATCATATCCTTTCTGTATTCTTTGGAATGGGATGATAAAGTCTGGCCTATATGTTTACTGCTAATGGCCTTGTCTTTTGTGCTGGGCCATGTAGTCAGCAAAAGATGAACTCACTCCTCTTGCAGGTAAGGTCAACTTGTATAAGCTCACCTTCATTTTCAGTAGATTAATAAGAGCAGGGAGAAGAGTGGCTGAAGGTAGGCAAGGTCTGGGATAATCCCATACCCAGCATGCTCTTACAGTAGCATTACAAAAACCTGAACCTTTTCTCCAAGCCAAGGCCACAATAAGGCACCAGGAAATTACCAGCTTTCCAAGAGCCTTAGTGTCTTCTAGAACACAAACCAGTCATAACTAAATGGAGCAAAGAGGGTTTTTTTAATAATCCTGGGCTTTATGGTCCTGTTTCCCAAATGGGCCCGAGTCTATCACAAAGGGCTCTGAATACTGCTGTGTCTGGGGCTGGGCTAGGAGGGATGGCTGCTTCAGCTCTATGACATACAGACCTGCAATCTCCATGCAACCAGTGTCCAAATCCCATTGCTTTTGCTTTTCCTCTTAGAAAACCTTCTCTGAGTGGCTCTCTGGAGACTTTAGTTGCATGTTTTCAGGAATCCTGTGCAAAATAAGAGCAGAAACCACAGGAATTTGCTACCCACACAAATTGTAAGAGGGCAGAAACAGTGGGAAAGCAAACAGCTCCCTCATACAGTCTGCTCTCTGAAATCTCAAGGGACTCTGTTTTATCTCCAAAGCCTTGTTGGGGATTTTCTTGCCTCCTCCTTCTGTTGCTGCTTAGTCTCTTGCATGGAAAACCAGTTTGTGGTGACAACTGCTGTGTTCAAGGATTGCAGTGGATGGTGCCAATCTTCAGATGTGTTGGTTTCCATGCACAGTGCCCTTCCTGTTAGGTAGGGTGGGTGAAGAAGATATGGGAACGTGGATGTGGAAATGGTGATCTCCACGTGAGGGATGGAAAGCCAGGCAGGCTACGGTGGAGCTGCCTGCATAAGTCTCTGTGGTAGATTATCTCCCTGTGAGATGCTCTCCCTCTTTTCTGATGTTATCATGCACTACAACCTGAGCTGTGTGCATCTTGGATCCAGCTTGTTCTTCATACAAGACAGAAAAGGAGAAGCTGAGGTATGTAGTAGTGTGTCTGTACTTATGTATATGCCTACATGTGTGAGTTCTTATTCCCAAATGTAAATTATAATCACAGATGAGATCAACAAACTAACTGTATGTGAGGACACATAGTTTCTTTTCTCCTAAGCTTTCTGCTCTTTGTTATTCAGTTATTTGTTACACTGCTTTCCAATTTGAAGCTTGTTTCTCACCTATTTCCTCTACCTGTGAACAAAATAGCAGCAGCCTAAACCTGGAGTTGAAGAAAAAAACCTCCAACATCCTGAGCTTTTGAAAATGGTAGTGAATCAGTGTG